TTAGATTCTCAGTGCAGTGCTTTAACCCGCTGCGCCACCAGGGAGGTCCCTGAAGTATTTAACTTTTAAAATGTCCATGTTTTATATTTCCTTAGCTCGAATTATTCCTTGTTATCAGGGATTATTATATCCCTAGTTGCAACTACAGTATAGAGTAGGGACATAAGTATGTAATACAAATTCTGCAGGTAGCTCTCTGGTGGCATAGGGGTTAAGTCTCAGCAGTATCACCACCACAGCCTGAGTTTGATCCCCAGCCAGGGACATGACCCACATGGCACAGCAAACCTCTCCTGTCTCATCCACTGCTTCCCTTAGCAGTGCATTTCAGTAGATCGGTCTGTTCTGCTCCCCAGTCTGTCTCTGGTGAATCCTCTCACTCCCTGCACCTCTGGCCTACACCCCAGTTCTTCTATACAAAAATAAATATATAATTAAAAAAAAAACAAAACTAAAAACTCTGCAACTGTCTGATGACTTGCTGAAAAGTTATACTATGTGACTTAAAGTAATTTATAATGGAGATGAATAAAAAAGGGCACTTTCTAGTAAAAAAAGAGACACAGCAAATACATTTCAATGTTTTATACTACTTTAAGGGGATTCTGAGCTTCCTACAGTAAGTAACAGTCACCAAATATCTGATTTAATCAGAATCATACTCCTATAGAATTCAATAGGGTATTGCTATTCAGGTCTTTGTGTTGTTGAAGGGGACCTGGCCTCTGCCCAGTTCTATTTCTGGCTTTGTTATTACCTAGCTATGTGATCAGACATTTCACTTCCAGAGGCCTCAACTTTCCCACCTATAAATTGAAGTCCCATGTGGGAAGAGGGTTCAACTTTTCTAAGGTTCTTCTCTTCTAGGATAATATCTGTTGTCTCTTTTCATTCCATCTATCCTTCAGTCTATCCCCCCATGCCCTTTTACCTTTTTTAAAGTAAAGGTAAGAGACTTCTGAAATATTAAAAAAAAAAAAAAAGAGGGCCCTCCCTGATGGCACAGTGGGTTAAAGCACAGCACTGCGAAGCTGGCCGCAGCCACTTCAGTGCAAATTTGATCCCTGGCCCGCGAGCTGACCCACATGGTGCAGCAGACTTCTCCTGTCTCACCTGCTGCTCCCCTCAGCAGTGTAGTTCATTGATCAGCCTGTACTGCTTCCCACTCTGTCTCTGGTGAATCCTCTCACTACCTCTGCACCTGTGGCCTATCCACAAGTTCTTTAAATAAATCATAAAAAAATCATAAGAACTGGGACACAGGCCAGGGGTGGGGTAGTGAGGGGTGGAGGGTGGTGAGAGAATTCACTAGAGACAGAGTGGGGAACAGAAAGGTACTCTGACTGAAATACACTGCTGAGGGGAGCAGCGGGTAAGATAGGAGAGGTCTACTGAGCCATGTGGGTCAGTTCCCTGGTGGGGGGTGGAACTCGCGTGTTGCAGGGGATAGCTTCATAGTACTGTGCTTTAACCTGTTGCACCACCAGGGAATGCCCTGAAATGATTTTTTAAAAAGATTTATTTATTTACGCATACAGAACTGGGGTATAGGCCAGAGGCGAGAGGATTCATAGAGTGGGGAGAAGAACAATCAGATCATGAAGTACACTGCTGAGGGGAGCAGCAGGTGGGTCAGGAGAGGTCTGCTGCACCATGTGGGTCACCTCTGGGGTCAGGGATGGAACCCACACTGCAGCAGCTGTGGCTAGCTTACAGTGCTGCATCCTAATCCTAACCCTAACTCATTGTGCCACCAAGGAGGGCTCTGAAATGATCTTAATATTCACCTTTTCTTCTACCCTTCTTTGAGCAAGTAGCCTTTCAAAGAGCTCTTCCTGCATCTGGTACTTTATTCTCTACAATGAACTCACCCCACAGAGGGAGATTTTTCCTAAATATATGAAAATCACAGCCGCCTTTGAGAAACGTGAATGTTTTGTCACTCCCTCCCTGGAGATGCCCAAGTCAGAAAAATCTGCTTATCCTCACAAGCCAAGATGATCCTTTCTTTCTCTGATCCCGTCTTTACTTTCTATAGACATAGTTTAATTAACAAACTAAGCAACAGAAATTTCTTCACCCAACTCCAAATACGTTTTCCACTGAGACACACCCCCCTCCCCTACCTTTATACTTCCAGCTCCCATCCGTCTAGGGGAGTTAAGTGTCAGATCAGCGCTCACCTGCGTAAGACCAATCTGGCAGCTCCGTAAGGGGCCCGTAGCCGGAAGGGTTGGGAGCCAGGCCCTGCCTGGGTGGAGAGAAACAGTTGGGTGAGACCCCAGCCCAGCTTCAGTACCCCAGCTACCTGCAGACCCGCACTCACTGGAGTCGCCACGGGCTGCCCGCCCAGGCCGCCGCGCAGCAGTGCAGCCTCCGGACACCTGCTGGAGAAACAGGGCAGAATTGGGAGAAAAGCGTATAGCTAGTTTAGGGGTGCTGGGCCCACGGGCGCGGACTCCCGAGCCCACCTCCCTACTCCCACTTTCTCGACTAGAGTACCTAACGCAGCCATACTGAAGCGGAAAGCCCGGAAGTGGGGCGTGGCCTCCGGGGCTACGCGCGACGCTGCGGAGGAAGCAGGGTGCCGCCATCTTGAACCTTTTTCTGATCACGGAGCCCGCCATCTTGGGCCATCGTACGGAACGACAGAACTGCGACCGCGGGGTTTTGGGCGAGAACGTCGTTCTCTGGGTTCCTCCTCAGTGGTGGACGCATATTTAGTGGAAGTGGTGTTCTCCCAGACTGAGCTGACCTGTAATGCTGCCGCGATCGCAAATCCTTTGAGTTTTATTATAACTTGTATCATGGAGAAGTAACCTTTTACCTCATTGTATTCCTTTCCTCCATCACCTTAACATATTTTTCCTAGACTTAAGATCAGTGATCCAATTTAGAATCAGAAAGTGTGGGTTTCATGTCTCCTTCATCTAACAAAATCGAATAACTTACACGTGATAAGCACTCTAATAGGCTCAGAAAATTTAATGGAGAGGAAAACGGACACTAGTGATGGAACTTTCAGAAGAGAGGACAATCAAATAACCACATTACTTTAACATTAAGCTAAAAGTCGTGGTGGGAAGGGAAGTACCTGTTGTTTGAGTGCCTGGAGGGAACCTGGTCTAGAATAGATGTGTCAAAAGAGGATTCCCGGATGAAGAGATAGGGGAACTAAGATTTGATTCTGTTTCTGTAAGCGGTCTAATCTTTGCAACAACCTTGGGAGCTTAAATGCTAGTAAGTGGTAAACCCAGATCTGGGACTCCTTTCCTCCTTTTTATGATGCACTTGGGGAAATGATACTTAATTTTTTTCATTAAAAAAAAAAGCTTAATATATCACATTCATGAGATCTTTAAAAAAATATTTATTTATGCACACAAGAACTGGGGTACAGGCCAGAGGTGGGGGTGGTGGTGAGAAGATTCACCAGAGACGGAGTGGGGATCAGAACAGGCAGGTTGTCTGTTCAGTTGTCTACTGAAGCGAGCAGGGGCCGGTCAGGAGAGGTCTGCCACACCATGGAGGTCACCTCCCTGGCCGGGAATCGAACTACATGCTGCAGTGGCTGCAGATGACTTCATAATGCTGCACTTTAATCCGTTGCGCCACCAGGGAGGGCTCATGAGAACATTTGAAGAATGATAATGTGAGTGAAGTGTTTTTTTTTTTTTTATATCATGAAGCCTATAAAAAGCTTCTACATTACTGAGTGCTAGGCTACACACTAAACACTGTGCTGATTGGGGAAACTAGAGGGAGTGGTACAATGCCTTATCTGGAAGTTTTTCATTTCCTCTGCAAGACTGGCAAGTTTTTCCACAGGAGGTGGCTCTAAGCTGTGCTTTGAAAGAGGGGAAGGGTGGGCCCTAGTTTAAGAAGTAAAAGCTATTTAGATAACAATAAAAATGGTATAGGCTAAGATTGAACCTAAAGGGATGGGAACAAAAGCACCTTGGCTGTAAGCCAACAGATGGGCCCCCAAAATAAGCAAGGGAAATAAGAAAAAAAAGAGTACCATTACCATCCTACATTAGTACACTTCATTTTCACTTTGATAGAAAGGACTTCATAAAATGTTCACAACCTGTAAAGTAGATAAGATAGTGCAGGAAGCAATCATTGTACAGATTGCTTGTAGTTTAGAGAGATCAGGAAACTGAACCCAAATGTAGCTGTGGATTTATTGTTTTATAGTTAGTTGCAATAATGACTGAGTGACATCTTTCCTAAACTCCATGTGCCTTTGGCTTATAGACAGCTGATTTAGACAGCATTAGAATTTCATTATGTAGTTTATCACTGGAGAATAAATAGTGGAAGTTACCACCTGGAAAAATAACTGCAATGCTAACATTCAGAATTGACAGGAAAGATGACAGACTGGCACTACCACCAACTCTGTACAAGGAGTTGAACCAGCAACACTTCTGTCTTCTAGTAGCTCATGAATTATAGGAACACCAATGATCTGGACAATCATAAAAAAGGACACAGGCATTAAGGTGAACAGATAATGTGGACAATGTGAATTCCATAGGCAGAAGTGAACACAGAATAATTTAGTAATTGTGAGAATCAGTGAACCAGAGCTGGAGGACTCTAGAGACAGGATGGGAAGTTTTGCCAGGAAATCTGGGTGGAGAAAGGTCTTTGGAAAGAACACAAAGTTTTGTCTTTGACATGGTTAGTGTGATGTGGCAGAGAGACAGTTCATGGGTTGTAGCAGGAAATATGGTTTAGGATTTAAGACAGAAAAAGAGAACACTAGCACTGACAGTTAACATAATCAGAATTCTCAGGGACCCCATGGAACCATTATTGCCTAGAAGGCACTTGGACATCCCTTTTCAAGGACATCATCAGAATTCACATGCCTCAGGAAAGCAAATTTATCATTCCAAACTAGAGGTCTTTCAGTCTCTGGACTTCATCTGGTAAATGGTGGGGTTAAGGGCGACGTGAAGGGGTCTCAGGTATTGGGTGGCTGGCACCATGTCCAGCCATGAAGGTGGCAAGAAGAAACCCCTGAGGCAGTCCATGAAGCAGGCCAAGGAGATGGACAAAGAAGAGAAGGCATTCAAGCAGAAGCAGAAAGAGGAACAGAAGAAACTCGAGGAGCTAAAAGCAAAGGCTGCAGAGAAAGTTCCCCTGGCTACAGGTGGAATTGAGAAATCTGGCACAAACTAAGGTGTTCCTTGTGCCTGAAGCAATGGTGGTCCTCTATTCTATTCAAGTTCCAACATCAGATTCCCTGCCATAATATCTTTTGCTTCCAATAGCTAGAATGAAGTGTCTTGGAGCCTGTTGTACATTTAAGAATAAACTTTTGTACAATAAATAAATAAAAAGCCATAGACTAATTTATTTTTAGTTCTTCTCACTCAGCCATTTCTACCTTACCTGTGAGGTCAGAAAAACCCAGTCTATAAGTCTAGGCAAAGTGTGTGCATCTTCTGTACTACCTGGAATTAAACCAACTCATTTGAAATGAAAACATAAATAAATAAATAAAAGAGCAAATATCATGTTCTCAGCCTCATGTCTTTCTTCTTTAAAAAAATGATGTGGGCCCTCCCTGGTGGCACAACAATTTTAGAGAGCAGCACTATGAAGCTCTCCACAGCCACTGCAGCACAAGTTCCATCCCCAGCCTGGAGGTGACACATGGTGCCACAGACCTCTCCTGTCTCTCCTGCCACTCCCCTCAGCAGTGTGCTTTGTCAATTTCCTTATTCTGCTCCCCACTCTCTCTCTGGTGAATCTTCTCACCCCCCTGCACCTCTGACCTGTACCCCAGTTCTTGAATGCATGAGTAAGTAAACCTTTAAAAAATGTAAAAATGATGCCTCTCAAGGGCATCATCATGACCTTATTTGGCTTTAACATTTCATTGTCCACTCATGCTTTTGTCCACTGTGTTTACTCAAATATACTGTCAGGTCTGTATACTATAATGTATGTACAAGCTCACCACTGGAGGAAACTAGGTACTTTAAAAACTTGTGATGAATAATGAAGCTGGAGAAAAAAACAAGTGAAAATGACTCTTAGTTAATTCCCACCTCCCTTTGCAAACACTTCCCCTTTTTTTGTATGCTTGTAACCAGATTTTTTTTTTCAGATTTATTTCTTTGTACCTACAGAACTGGGGTATAGACCAGACATGCAGGGGCGATGAGAGGCTTCACCAGAGACAGAACCGGGAGCAGAACAGGCAGATTAAAGAAGTAGACTGCTGAGGGGAGCAGCGGGTGAGACAGGAGGGGTCTGCGGCGTCATGTAGTCACCTCCGGAGCTATGGGTCCAACTCGCACTGAAGTAGCTGCCGCTAGCTTGCAGTGTTGCATTCTAACCCGTTGTGCCACCAGAGAGGGCCAATTTATAACCAAGTTTTGAGGTTGGAGTTTATCTTGTCCCACATTCCTTCATTATGTTCCCCCTTAGGACAGCTCATTATCAAATCACTGTCATCCCTTGTACAAAGTGTGGAAACTTAAAGCTATAAACCACCCACTTACACAATACACTGCTTTGCATATTTTCTCCTGTAAGTAATTTATTGTAACATTCCTTTTCTTTTGCCATGGTTGTCAAGTATCTGCTAATTCAGAAAGAGGTTAAATTTAGTGGTAGAAGACCTGATTTTAAGATGGGTTAATTATGCCCTCAGATTACACACTTCTTCCTTGTGTGGCCACGAGGAAGTCTCTTGGGGTGGGTTCCTGTGCACCTGCCTGGTCTTGAAGGTGGGTGGCTGTGAATCTGTGCAAAGTGGTAATGGTTGCTTTAAAAAACGACAAAACTGGATTGTTCAAAAAGTGCAAAAGAAAACTATCATTTACAAGTAATTTAAAAAAAAAAAAGATTTATTTGTATTTATTTATGCATGCAAGAACTGGATGCAGGCCAGAAGTGCGAGGGGGCGTCAGTGACAGGATTCAACAGAGACAGAGCAGGGAGCAGAACAGGCAGACTGATGGAGAACACTGCTGAGGCGAGCAGAATGCGGCCCAGGATTGGCCCGCTGAGCCATGTGGGTCACTTCGTTGTGTGTATGGGATCACTCTGCTGCAGTGGCTGCGCAGGGCTGCTCTTTAACCCTTGCGCTACCAGGGAGGGCCCTTACAAATAACTTTTAGCCTTTAAAACGTTTGAAGCATCCCAGGTCTCTTTGCTTGAACTAACTCGGGAGCCCCCCACCCCCTTGTTTGGTCCTTGCAACCATTAAGACCTTTCCGTCGAAAGGTGCTTTGAAGACTCCAACCCCCCCCCCTCCCCCGTCATCATTTGGACATCTTTGGTGGAGTGCTGCCCTCTGGCGGCGGCTCCCCACTCCCATACTTCCCAGTTGGGTGAGACCACTCTCAGATTTGCGAACTCCAGCTGATGCAACAGCTACCCCGAGAGGGCGAGAATTGAGAACCCCAGTTGGAGGAGACGCCGTCCGGGAGACCCCTTCCAGGGTCGATGAGGGGGCCGCCCCCTCGCCCCCGCCTCCCCGGAACTTTGCGGTCCTGGGTTCCTCCAGAGTCTCAGCTTAGAGGTGGGATGGTCTGGCTTTGGAGCTAACGCGCAGACCCCCCTCGGGCCGCTGGTCGAGACGGATTTGGGGGGGTAGGGAAGAGGAAGCTGAACCGCGGAGAAGGCGGAATCCACGGTCATTTCCATTTCCCAGGGGCCGCGCTGGTGTGCCCAAGTGAGGACGGGCTGCGAGCCTACTTTAGGCCTTTCGTCTACACCCGCTACAGCCCGCTCTTTCTAGTGCTTCCAGCAGCCCGGGAAGGGCGAGGGCTGCCTGCAGCTGGAAGGGAGGGGACGCCCGGTGGGTGGGGCCTGGCTCCTGAAGCAGTCGGTGGCCAGACCTGGACCGAGCTCTCCAGGGGGCTTGGAAGGCTGGTGGTGGCTCGGTGCGATTTGTTAAGGCGAGTTTCCGGGCCTCAGACGCGAAGCCAGGCCGAAAGAGGGAAATAAGGGGAGGTCGGGCACTGCACAAAGGGGCCAGGCTGGGGCCCCAGGGGAGGGGGTGGAGAAAAGGAGCAAAGGTGAGCGCGGGAGCCGCGGAGGCAGGGGGTTGCAGGCGGGTAGGAGGGCGTCAGGGGAGAGTTCACGCTGGAGGATTTGCGGCCCCACTGTCCAAGCCACCAATGTGGCTGGACGCGAGCGCTCGTCTCTCGCCGCCTTCCCTGCTCCCCTCTTTCTTCCCCTCTCACCTTGCTCTTGCTGCACCGAGACTGGTCATTCGACTAGGGAACCGAGAACTCGGCCCAGGGAAAAGCGCATTAGCTTAGCGGCTTGTTCTGTTTTCCAACTAATGAAGTGAAAACTCCATCTCAAACCACGCTAGATCTCCCAGTAAAGCTGGAAAGTATACCCTTCTCCACTTCCTCCGCCTTCAGCCCAGGACTCTTAGAAATAATAAACACCCCCAAGTACTCCTTGCTTAGGAACCTGCTCTGCAGCTGCATAGATGTACCTGAAGGGTAAATTCAGACATTCCCAGAGCCCAGCCAGCTGGAAATCAGACCAGGAGGAACAGCCAGCGTTCTTTATTTGTTCGTTTATTGGTATAACAGACTCCTGTGGCTCACACTGCAGGTGCCCTGCCCTGGGGAAAACTCGTGAATGATGCTCTGGCGGTGCCTTCAAACTTTTTGGTGGGGAGGTGACAACAAAGAGACTGGTGGCTTAGTGCCCTGAAGAAAAGTCCAGCGTCCTGAAGGTGTAGAGACTGACAGAGGGAAGGAGTTGTTCTTTCTGAGCCACCCCTAGGAAGGCTCCTGGCCAGGTTGGTGTTTCACCGCAGACCTGAAGAGTGAAGACATGAACAGCAGCAGTGCAGTATGTTCCAGGCAGAGGGAACAGCAGCGGCAAAGTCCTGAGGTGGGAGCATGCCCGTTGTGTGACAGGCAGCAGCAAGGAAGCCAGTGGGACTGGAGTGGAGTGAGGGAGCCGAGGGGTCAGGGGCCATGTTAGGGCTGTTTTCCTAGGTCTTCCCATGGAGGAAGACCCCAGAGTGGGATTTTAAGGGGCAGGTGAACTGGATCTGAGAGGGCATCAAGCCATTCTGGGAGTAATTAAGACATTTGGTGCCAAGGAGAACCAATTTCTTTCCACATCTCCTGGTGAGATGTAAATTGGGGCTCATCCATTGACAGAGTTCTTGGCAACCCCTTTCTTGGAGTCTATCTCTAGAAAATGTTGCAGAATATAGCCCTGAGACCTTATAGCTGATAATTGCTACAAGGCAGCACTCACCACTGGAATTCTGAAAATGCACTTTGCACTGTGAATTGTCACTCTGTGAGAGAGATTTATGCACTATTTGACTACATTTTATATAGTTTAATAGGCACAGTTGCTGCTTCAGAAAATGCCACGTGAATCTATTCATGTAATAAGCTCTAATTTTGAACAGAAAGAATGAACCTTATCGTTTTTATTCTGAGAAAAAATGGTGTTTCCCCTATCTCTGCTAAGTAAACATTCAACAGATACTTAAATAATCCTGATTTGAAGGGGTGCCAGCTCATTAGCCAGGGCTTGCTCTGGCCCCATTGGCTGGCTCTTACTTGGCAACAACAAGCTTGCCCTGAACCACATGGGGATCTGAGCTATGAAGGGGCTTGCCTAGTGTTCCAGTATGAGTTTGTGAGTGGGAGCTGAGTGGGAAATGAAATGAGGGTGAGGGGCGTTGTAAGGAGCATGGAGGACGCTCTGTAAGTTCTGGGTAAGCCCATGTGCTGGTTAAGGTAGCTCAGGGGCAGAGGCAGGGAGGAGGAGGAGGCGCTGAGACTCGCTGGAGAAGATGCCCGGAGGCCATCAGGCTTTGAGGTCTTCTGAGTCAGTCAGGCAGTCCCAGCCTCAGCCCGTCCCCTGGCCCCTCCCCGCTGCCGGCCAGAGTCACACACATGTGTTTTCCTGTTTTCCATTTCGGTCCGTCACCCTCTGCCTTTTCGGCTCCTCCAAGTCAACAGCTGCTGCAGCTTGAACCCTACCCCCTTCCGAGTACGTCCCCTCCCCCAGACCCTGCTCCTATCAGCCCCTGTCCAAAGGTCGCTGGACAGGTAAGAGGTGGGAGAGGAGGGACAATGGGTGAGAGGGGAAGTGCAGGAAGAGGATGGAGTGACTGTTGAAAACTGGTTCACCCAGAGACCCCAGAGCCTCTTGAGCCGGGGCCCCAGCCTGACTCCCCTTCGCAGAACCCCTATACCTCCAACTGAAGTCCTAAGTTAGTGGCAGCCCTGGCCCCAGGAGTAAACAATTTCTTTCTTTTTTTTTTTTAAAGGGGCTGTAGAGGGAGGAGCTGAACTTCCAGCTTGGGGTGATGGGGGATATCTAGCTGTATTTGTTTTCTGTTTGTGTTGTTAGGGGAAGCAGCACAGACCAGTTAGAGCTAGGAAGGCAGGACACAGGGTCTGAGGGGAGAAGGTGTTTCTCATATTTAACTCCCTGAGCTTCACTGAAGAGCCACGATCCTGACCCGTGCTCTGGCTTCTGGAGGCAGTGAGGTCTGGCAGTGCCATTCTCTTTTGGGGTTGGGGCAGTGGCTCCATGGCTACTGTGCCAGGCACTGCTGCTTGTCTTCCCTAAACCCTGGAATCTGAAACCTCCCCCACAAGCTGTAGCATGAGAGTGCTGCCCTGTCATCTCTGCTAGGCCTTCAGAGACGAATGCACCTCAGACAGGCGACCAAAACAAGGGGTACTATGGGTCAGGAGTGCTGTTTTCTCTTGGGGGTTCAGATTCTGCAAGGCTTGGAGTAAAGCCTGGAGTAAAGAGTTCTTCAGGAAACGTTCCGCTGCCCCAGGATGGTAGAAACAGCCCCCCACCCCCAGAGCCAGAGTTTCAGGGGGGAATGTGAGTTGCCAGAGAGGGTGCTTTCCTGCCCAGGGTGACAGTGCTAGGCAAAGGTTGAGAAGGAAGGGGAATATCTTTTCTATGAAGGACAGCTTCCCCTGTCCAGATTGCTGGGGTTGACTTCCACTTCTTGGTGACCGCTAGGTTGTGCTGTTTGCTGAGGTGTGGATTTTCCCCTCCTGGTTTTCTGTCTCAAGATTCCTGGCAAAGGCAAAGGCCTGCACTTTTCAAATGGCTTCAGCCCGGAACCAGAACCTACATAATCCTCTCCCCACTTGCCCTCAGAATTCCCCTTCTTTTATCTCTCCTTCATTCCTTTTCTTTACACTCACTAGGACTCATCCTTTGTGCTAGTGCAGATGGTCTTCAAAGGAGAGGCGTGATGATGTATCACTTTTTCTTTGCTTTAGAAGTGGGAACCCTTAGCAATAGCAGCTTTGCCAAGAGGACTTGTAATGGCCTCTCATCTCTGCAAAAGGGAGAGAAAGGGGAGGAGCATCCAGGAAGGAGATGACAAGCTTCAGTCTAGGCTTCAGGCTGGGCAGAGGCTCTCTTTTTAAATCTAATCACACTATCTCCCAGGTAACTCATTAGGGAGCCGTCTGAAGTACATTTCAAGGAGGAAGGCCCGAGACCTGGGAGGTCTGAGGGAGTGTGATGGTTGGGGAGATAGCCCGGGGTGCCCAGTTAAGAACCTGGGTTCCATTGGCAAGCCCCTGCACCTTCCCTCCCTGGCAAGCTGGGTACTCTGCCATGCCTGTCTGCCTGACTCAGTGCCTGCCTGAAAGGGAGATTAAATGAGGGAAAGCAGTTAGGTGCTTAGCAGTGTATCTGGGTAAGTACTGAATAAGTGTCAGTTAATATTACTATTATAGGCACATTTGAAGGGAACTGGGAGAAAAGGATGCATTTTAGATGTTTGTGAGGGTGGCTTGGGAGAGAAGCATGAGCTCTGGGATGGCTAACAGAGGATCCCTTTCCTGGTGGAAAAAAAAACTTAATGGGTTAGAATGGGAGAATGTAGGTTAGAGATAAGGCCCCCTGCAGGGGTTTTAGATTTTCACATTCTGGTTGTAAAATAACCAAGGAGGGGGGTGGGAAGGGACAGACAATCAGATTTCAGAATGAGACTTGTAGACTTTTCAAGATGTATTCATTTATGCACACAAGAACTGGGGAGGGGCTCCATGCTGCCTCACAGGTTAAATCTCAGCATTATCAAGCTGTCCCCAGTCACTGCTGCATGGTGAGTCCCAATGTGGCACAGCAGACCTCTCCTGTCTTGCCCACTGCTCCCCTCAGCAGGGTATTTCTGCCTGTTCTACTTCCTGTCTGTCGCTGGCAAATCCACCCTGCACCTCTCACCCTACACCCCAGTTCCTGCATGCATGCATAAATAAAATAAATCTTAAAAAAAAAAAAAGCAACGAAAGGGAATGTGAGTATGTCAGGTGGCAGGTAGAGCCCGAGTCACATTTCTTGACCTGGGTTCCTTTGAAGTAGGCTGATGCTTGGCCTTGGGGTAAGGGCTGAGTTTAGGGACAGCATTTCTCCCTCTTTGTGGGGAAGTGGGCAGAGTTCTCCGATCTCGATCACGAGGTGTACTGACTGCATTTACACTTCCTCTAATCTCAGCCAGTGAATAAGCCTTTGTGCCTCACTGTGCAATCTTCTTCCTGCCTTTCTTACTTGGGGTGAGAGAGCAGGGCTGCAGTGAGGCATGAGGTCTGACAGGGCTGTACATTCCTCCTCACTTCCCTGTCCTCAGCAGATTGCTCAGGACTGCTTTCCCAGGGATGCAGACATTGCACCCAGCCCACGTCTGTTCTTCCTCCTGGGTCCCCAGTCCTGGAGCAGAGCTGACAATGGAGATTCCTGAGAGTGCCTTCTTATCACAGAAAGTGCTGAGCCAAAAGCACACTTTTTTGTAGATGTCAAGGAACCTTGGACCTATTGCTTAATACTTTTTCTCCTCCCAACCCCGCCTTCTTAACTTCTTGATTTGACTTAAATCCTTTAGCCTTTCCTGCTAGTGCTGGCTGTAAAGGAGGAGCTGTCCGACCACGGATCCCGAGTCCACTCCGTGACTGCCACTGGTTGCTGCGAGAACCAGCTTATCCCCAGGGCCAGGGAGTGAGTGTCATCCTGTCCCTGCCCTCAGCCCCACTCGCCTTGCCCACCCCCAACTTTGCTGCCCTGTAGTGTCCAGTCTCTCTGTGCTGAGTGCTTCCAGCCCTGAGATCCCCCACCCGCTTGCCAGTCTCACCTCCTCCCTCTCAGCTGTCTGCTGTTCCCTGTGCCCTGCTTCAGCCACTTCCAGCTTTGGGAGACAAAGTCATTGGGTGCTGTCTCCAGCAGCACCTCCTGTGTGAGGAGCCCTCCTCAGCTGCCTCCTGTCACGCTTAGCTTGGGCTGTTCCTGTGGATTGCCCTTCTCGTGTTAATACCTTTTCTGGGGAATGTCCCCATGTACATTCCATGGAGGAATTCAAATTCCTTGGAACTGAGAAAGGCTCCTGTGAAAGGGAAAACAAGAGGAGAATGTGTCTTTTTTCAGGGTGGGCTGGGGCTGTGTGGGCTTTGGAGGGCTGAAGACTTCTGCTAAGGGCTACGAAGGGGTGTTTTCTGAGTAGGGGGTGGTTGTGGGTTTCCAGCAAACGATTTCTGAGGTCCTTAGGTTTGTCAGAGCTGGAATGCCTGGGGAGAAAGAGCAGTTTGTGGGGGTGAACCACAGATTAGCTCTTGCAAGTGTGGTCCCTCATGTTGCATGCACCTCAGCCCTAGCGACAAGTAAGATGGGAAGGGTGGGGAGACTTATGTTGGGATGAGACTCAAAACACTGTGGTTCTATCCAAGAACACCCAAATTGCCCTTATTCCAGTCTTGTATCAGAGCAGGTTCAGACAGAAGCTTTAACGTTGTCTCTTGAGAATCAAGTGGGTAGCACCAATCTAGTGATGAGAAACAGATGCTTTCTCTCCAGAAGACAAGTGTTTCTTTTGAAATTTGAGTTGGGGTTTTGATGAGCCAGCTGGGGAAGAGGTAAATGGGAAGTGGGAGATAGAGAGACACTCTGACTGGTTGGTAGGGGCAGGCTGGCCCTTTCCCCTATGAGGTGGAGGCATTGCCAATTACCCACTGTATACCCTTTTTCCCCCTTAGACGGCAATGCCAGGACGCTGGTGAAGGCTCACTTGTCCTCCTCCGCCATGGTTGACGGTGCTAAGTATGAAGTGGCGCCCCAGCATGAGGCGAATGCCTCCCCTTCCACCACTAAGGCCGATTCTGAGCCCGAGCAGGTGACGCTGAAGAAGGAGATCTCGCTGCTGAATGGCGTGTGCCTGATAGTGGGGAACATGATCGGCTCCGGCATCTTTGTCTCCCCCAAGGGGGTGCTCATGTACAGTGCCTCCTTTGGCCTCTCCCTGGTCATCTGGGCTGTTGGGGGCCTCTTCTCTGTCTTTGGGGCCCTTTGTTATGCGGAACTGGGCACCACTATTAAGAAATCTGGGGCCAGCTATGCCTATATCCTCGAGGCTTTTGGGGGATTCCTGGCCTTCATTCGACTTTGGACCTCCCTGCTGATCATCGAGCCCACCAGCCAGGCCATCATTGCCATCACCTTTGCCAACTACATGGTGCAGCCCTTCTTCCCAAGCTGCTTTGCTCCCTATGCTGCTGGCCGCCTGATAGCTGCTGCCTGTGTCTGTAAGTTGGGCTTGGGCAGGAGGGGAGGCGAGGGGAGGGGTGGGCCAGTGGGAGATGGGAATGTGAGCGGAGACATGAGTCCAGCCAGCGCCAGCAAGGAAGGAGGCAGTGGAAAGAAATGCCTCTGAGAAACTTAAAAAAAAGAAATTTTTTTTTTTTGTTAGATGAATCTATCCTTTGTGTCAGTTTTATTTCTTTTCTTTTATTATTTTTTATTTTTTTTTAAAGATTTATTTATTTGTGCATACAGAACTGGGGTACAGGCCAGAGGCTCAGGGGCGGTGAGAGGCCTCACCAGAGACAGAGTGGGGAGCAGAACAGGCAGATCGACTAAGTACACTGCTGAGGGAAGCAGCGGGCGGGCCAGGAGAGGTCTGGCCTGCCATGTGGTCTCCTCCGGGGCAGGAGGCAGGCAGGAATCGAACTCATGCTGAAGTGACTTCGGATTCTCAGTGCTGTGCTTTTAAACTGCTGCGCCACCAGGGAGGGCCTTGTGTCAGTTTTAAAGGAAAAAAACCAATTTACCTCTGCACTGATTTCCCGTGGTAAGCACGGTTGGCAGTTTGCATGTCCATCCTGGTTTTGCTTCTTGCTCCTTCAAGAGATACAATTTTCCAAAAACGGGATCTTAGTAGACATATACTTTTAGAATTTATCAGTGGCATTCTTTTCTACTACAGACCAACATTTTTTAATGCTTCATGTTAGTTCTTGTTAATTTGAAGAATGTACTGTCTCACTGACCGTTCCTCTGGCCATGGCCATTTAAGTTGGCTCCAGGTTTTTTGCCTTACAGGTAAAGCTACAGTGAATATCCTTTGCACTTGCGTGAGTGTTTCTGTGGGTTAGAGTCGTAAAACTGTCATTTCACTTCATCTTGACTTTTTCTACATCTCATAAATAAAATATTTAAATCTGTGCACTCAGCAAAGGCACTGAGGGGTGGATCCCTTGCAGCCCCATCTCCTGGGTGACTGTTCTCCAGCCTAGGAGACCCTGGGGGCCTGGAGCCTCCTCCCATCTCCCAATTATGGAGAAGCTCAGAAATTTGGTCAGCTTAAGGGGCAGCTGGCCTAGCAGCAGCAGCTGCAGCTCTTGGAGGGGTGGGGTCCTGGAATTTTGTACCAGGTGCAATTACTCCAATAAGCCTCGTGCCCCTTTTTCTCTCGGTTTTTCCTCTGCCCCATCGTCCTCAGCTTCCTCTCCATCCTCCCTGATATTACTGTTGTGCAGAGAACAGGCTGTCCGCTGTCCTTTATAGGGTCCTCCTGTGCTTTGTGTGCCCCTGTGTGGTTCAGACTCAAGCTCTGTGTGTGGGGAGATATTTGTCAGGCGCGACAACTTTCAGGGAAGGGTGGAGAGCACTGCCTGTGTTGCAAGAGCGAGGCGCTCCCCTGAGGTCTTAAATATGATCAGTAATTTATCTTGCATCATTCACTGATGTTCTGGAAGATTGACTTACTGATGAAACTAATTTTGGGATCCCTTGGTCTTGGTATTTCCTCCAATATGGGTATGTTGCTACATATTTTGTGCAGAAGGTTTATTCTGTCTAACTAAAATTTTCAAGATGAAGACATCCCTTTAAGCACCGGCATTCTAGTATCTTAACAATCTTCGTTGAACTCTGTCAAGCCAAGGAGATGTTTGCCTTTCTAATGTAACATTCTTTGGGTGACTCAGGATCCTCACTGTGCATCTCAGTCCTTCTATGACTTTGGGTCTTTCCAGACCACTGGGGTGGGGGTGGAGGGTGGACTCAGACTGCTAGTCTGATTTTGTTCTTCCGGTTTTATTATTTTATGGTTTTGATCTGTGGCATCTCCGACAGCTGTCATTCCTTGCTTGTGGCATTGTGCCTACTTCCATCAGTCACTCGTTTCTAATTTGCTGCTTCTAATTTGGGAATAGAGACGTACTCAAACCCTTTACGCCCACGTTCACGCATGTACACCCTTGGGGGAATCCATGCCTACAAGGCATATAGGAATAATGGCCTCATGTGATCTGTCTGCAGAGCTCCCTGGAATAAAAGGCATGGAGCTGTGCACATGGCTTAATGACATATACTGGTGACAACTCTGGTAGAGGGAAAAGTCCACCGAACTGTGGTGTCTGAGGCTGGGCTCAATAGCAGTAAGACCTTAGGCAAGGTGCAGTGACAACCGTTTACTTCCAGGCGGCTGTGGGAATGAAATGAGATTGAGTGAAATCACGCTTGAGTCATGCTCTATAACATATTGGTGATGACAATGTTTAAAATGACATTTCTTGACTGCTTCTAGGTATTTTGCTTTTCCTTCTTGGTTTTCTGTTGGTCAAGGTTAACTAAATGAGTTGTTACTGTATAAGTAGTTTTTGGACTTTCTTCTATCTTTAATAGAGGTAGAAGGACATAGAGATCTAGAAGGTTCAGAAGGGCAAACATAATTGCAAGGATTTGGGGACATATGACTCATGCACTTCTGCCCCCAGTCATTTGTTTTATGAGCCTGCAAGGCTCAGAACCTGTAAAGACATTCTGTTTAGCCTGAGGACTTAGGCTAAATCTTCAGATTTAGCAAATGAAGAACTTGAACATAGAGCTTTCATTCATTTCAGGAACATTTAGGGGATATTAGGGCTAGAGAGTCTCAGCCCTGGGTAACAAGAATAAAGTATGTCGCTGGCCATCTAAAAGCTCACAGTCTGGCAGGGAGACCAACATTTAACAGATAATTGTCATGCTGTGTCTTAAATGTGGTGAGAGAGCCATCTTAGGAACAAGCAGAACAGTTTTCTTCTTGTGGGGGAGGGGAGCTTAGGAGGATGTGATAGAGGGTACAATATCTGAACTCAGTTTTGAGAAGATTACTCGGATATTTCCTACAGAGCGAACTGTAGGTGAAAGGTGCGGAGATGCAAAAAGGCACAGAATGTTCTGAGAACTTCAGATAGTTGGTATGGTTGGAATGTGGAGTAAGGAGAGGTGAGGAGGTAAGGCAGAGACTGGAAATCTATAGCACATCGTAGATTCAGGAAGGTTTTATCTGTCTAATAAACAGGTCAGACTTTACCTTGAAAGTTAGGGGTATTGATCTCACGGGGGGCTGTGAAGTCAGATTTGCTGGGAGTAAGAACATGAGGGGTCATATGGCAGTGATTTTTGGAAAGAGTGAGAGACAGGCTTGTTGAAAGACAGGTTTAGGAAAGTACAACACGGGCCACATGAAGTGGGTGGGGCTTTTGGAATGGAGGAGGGTGGGGGGGCAGATAAGAGATAGTCCTAGAGTGGGGTTTGTAGGACTTGATGGGTGTGGGGGCTTTCAGCTGATGCTAAGGATTCAAAGCATGGGCAGATGGCATCGGGGGCTGCATCTAACAGGTAAGGTGGGCTTCATGATGTGCAGAAGGGGCACCTTGGGCTTCTGCTGGGTGGTCTTAGCAGGTAGGTCTTCATGACCTAGGGCCAGTCATTTTCCCACCAAGTGAGTCACATTGACTTGAAAAAAAAAAAAAAAAACCATGAAAAAACACTGATGAACGAAAGGCCGAGCCACCTCTAAGTGTACAACGCTGTGAGTGCGTGTATGCTGTCTGCTGACCAGAGGCGTGTGCTCACTCACACTCAGGTCAGCCCCTTGCTAGTACTGCAGTCGCTGGGAAAGCCATCTGGTCATCAGTGTGTCTTGTCTGGTGGCATGGAATCAGAGCAAAAAAAGAACATTTTGATTATGTGAGAAAAATGTACTGGGTTCTGTAAAATAGAGCGCAGAGAGACAGAGCCCTGCCTGTCGGGACTCGCAGTATGGTGGAGGAGACAGGAATTGGTGGTGAGTGCCTGCCAGGAGGGGGTGGAGTGTGGCTTACTCAGGAGATCATTCTACACCCAGCCCGGAGGAGGAAAAGGGTGAAGGACTGGGTGAAGTTCATTCACCTCCATGATGCAGGCCTGTTCCCTCTTCCGTCTCTCACCCTCATTCTCTCTGCTCCACTGGGTTTTCTGAAGAATCATTTTAAAGTTGGAGGCCAGGAAACTTCATGTCCCTCATACACAGCAACAGACAGGAGTCAGGACTCTGGGTACTAGCCTGTGGGCCCACTAGCTTTTTCTCCCACGTGCCTAGTGTGTGCCTGATTCAATATATATTTTTTTAAAGATTTATTTATTTATTTGTACAGAACTGTGGTACAGGCCAGAGATGCGGAGGGTGAGAGAATTCACCAGAGACAGAGCGGGGAGCAG